CAATGACTACAGTACACATCAGCCCCAATATATAGTAAAAAACAAGTAACCTGCGCTCTCTCCTTAATCCTTATGTATTTTTAAACAAATAGATGTTTTTTTAGTTACCTCCAATAGCCATGAGAGGGTAAGCCCACCTGCCAACGTCAGGGCAGACCCCCCCCTAGGTGGGTCCTAACTCTAACCATAAATCTACACACGTTGGTTCTTTGAAAAGCTTAGACCAATTGTTTGTGATACTCCTGGTGTTTAATATTTTTGGCATCCTCCTCATTATAATGTTTGGTAACAGGACTACCAACAGTAAACAGCACCACATAGAATTCATACTCTAAATAAAGAATCTGTGAATCTGTATGGGCAAGGTGCAACTACCGAGTTGCAGTAATTTCATGAGTCACCTTAATGTCATTTTAGTGTTAGAGCCCATAGAGCTTTAGCTCTAAAATGGGATTGCCCACACATACATATCTAAAATGGCATTGCCAACACATAAACTTAAGGAATAATATGTAAGGCTTTAAGTATAAATTACTACTGGTGCCAATGTTAGCTACTGTGATATCCTTACATTAGTAATTCCAGACTGCATACATACCTCCCAACAATCTTGATTGGAGAATTGAGAAGGGGTGCGCCCAGTGACATGAGCTGCAATACTAGTGATGCCTATAATCGGTGGGCTAGCTTAGAAAAGGGGGTGGTGCGCACTGACAGGCTCCTTGGCTGGCCTCCAGCTTATAGGACTATGCAGTGCCCAAGTATCTGCAGCCCAGCACAAGCGCATCTAATGCGAGACCCCAGGGAGCTAAAGCAGGACCATGCATGGTTCTAGTGCCTGCTTCCCAGCACGAGTGGATCTAATGCAAGACCCCAGGGGACTAAATCAAGACCATGCATGGTTCTAGTGCCCGCTGCCCAGCACAAGCGCATCTAATGCTAGACCCCAGGGAACTAAAACACGACTGCAGAACAGGACTGCAAAATGGAGAGTATCCCACCAAAAGTGGGACTGTTGGAATGCATGTGACTGATAATATTTTTAACGACTCCCATAGATACATTTCTCACTTGTCAGACCTCTCCAAGTAACTCCCTATGTGGCAGATACTGCTGCCAGCATTAAGAAAAGTATCTAATTACTGTCTGTGATCAGAAGCACAGAGCAAAAGCTGCAGCTCTGTGACAGGCTCTAGGTAGACGGATTTCTGGATAATAATTATGTAGCAGAGCTCAGATACCACGACTAGGTATCTCCGCTGTTCCTTCCTCGAAGCTGTAAGAAGCTGTAGTGATTATATCTCTTTCCCCCCAGCAACTAGACGACACATAGCTCTGGGAGTCAACTAAGGTTTATTGTGCCACACTCGGCTTTTTATGCACAGACCTCCAGCATGGGGTCTCCATAGAGAAACATACAGGTCCCTCCCAGGCACCTCTATGTCGGAGAGATAACTGAATCCAAAGCAGGATAACTCCATTATCTCTCAGTTACAGGAAATAGAGAATCATACAAAACACCCCAAAAACATATCAAAATTATACAGCAACCCCACAAAAGTCATATTCCCAAATAACCTGGATCTGAGCACCCAAGTTGGCAAAATAGCGTTCAGATCCCTTCAGTAGAACGGAATCGCCATTCGTGTAAAGTTTTGACCGGCCAGCCACGAAGTGATGTCCCAAAACCGTTCCACAGAAAATTAGGTCTTCTTTTGGGTTCTCCTGTACGAGCACAGACAAATGCTTCCCCTGGTTTTTAGGTGGCTAATGCTCCCCCTGTTCAGTAGTTTCTTTCTCCCGAACGCCATTCTTCTGACTGTTCGGGAAATTGAACGAGCAGCAGTACAAGTTTCCCCGGCGGTTGCGGGATCTCGTAGCCGGCATATAGTTCCAACTAGAAACCACGTGGCTCTGGTGCAAAAATTACCCTGGGACCCCACAATGTGATTCACCCCCCCCCAGCCCCTTCATTCTCCCCCCGATCCCCATAATGTGTCTCTCCCCCCCAGCTCCTCCATGTGCCTCACCCACCCATGTATTTCAGCCCTTCCATGTGTCTCATTCTCTCCCCAGACCCCCCATGTGTTTTTTTCCTCCCCCAGCCTCTCCATCTGTCTCCTTTCACCCCCAGCCATGGGAATGTGTCTCCCACAGCCCTTCTATGTGTCTCTCAATGTAGCGTAGCAAAGTGGAATACTTTACCATCAGGAGGAGAGCGCTATGCTGTGTACTCACCTCCTGCCAGTAACCTTGAAAGTGCACAAGCTTGGCCAGTTTGGCTGTGCACTGGCCCTGAAGTTATGCCAGTTGTAGGGGTCAACATTGTAGCCAGGACCCCTGGAGTGACGGGCTCAATTGCAGCAGCGATCCCTGCAACTGCTATAGGTATGCCACTGCTTATAAGTCTAAAACCCACAGCATACCATGTTCTATTTTACATAGTAAGATGTTTGGGAAAAAATGCAAGGGTGGCGAGTCAAGTAAAGTCCTTTCTATACTCGGTGAAAAATTATTTCTTAAAGGGTTACTAGTGTTACGGGAAAAACTACAGTTTAATGTAATTGTTCTGGTAAGTATAGTATGTCCCTGCAGGCTTTTTGCTGTAAACAGTGCCTGTCATAGAAAAGACAGTGTTTACATTGCTGCCTAGGAACAACTCTAGTGGCAGTCACTCAGATGGCCTCTAGAGGTGCATCCTGGGTCATGGAGATGCTGAATGTTTCCCACAGAGAAGCATTGATTCAATGCATCTCTATTAGGAGAGGCTGATTGGCCAGAGCAGTATTTGACTCCGTCCCTTGCCTCACCTCCTTCCCTGAAATCATCTCAGCCAATCCAATGCTTTGCTATGGAGGCAGATCGGGGGAGGAGCCAGTGTGGCAGACCCGTTTGTCACTGGAATAAAGGGGGGAACAATCTCCTAAATAGTTAGCTTAGCACTAAAGAATCAGGAATGCACATTGTGTTCCAGACCCTACAGTGTTCCTTTAAATTAAATGTACTGAGTAGACATTCATATTGGAACTAATCTTTACTTAACAATCTACAGCTATTCTGATGTTATGAGCCAAACCTTTTACAACAAGTTGCACTGAATGCAAACATGGGCTCTAATTCATATCCACTACACTACAGTACAACTTCTAGGACAACAGAAAAATAATACATATTCATTATAATTCTGGAGTTTGTTCTAACACTAAATTGATTTAAACACTCTGTATCATAATTACATTTGGCCAATGTTCAATAATTGGAGAATATTACAAGAGCTTAATGTTAGATAGTAGTTTATGAGAAGATGCTGTTGCCCTTTAATTCAGCCATAATTTCCCCCATGTTAAGGCGTATTACGTGTAAGTATTAAGAGGTTACATAACACATTATTTCACACAGTGATACATGAGAACTATGCTGAATATTCTCAGCATTGCAATTAAAGGTGCTCTAAGTTTAACTTTTTTCTTTACATTACTTTCAGAGTTTGCTGTTAAAATATTTTAAATCTTGAAAGTTTTATGGGCTGTCAGATGGAAGTTATGCAGTATCAATGTGCTGAATTTATAATAACCACTGTGCAGATTAATTCACTCTGAGGTCAGCTAAGACATTTAATGCGCACACAACCCTTCACCACATTGAACAACGAAACACTCAGAGCATGAAATCAGAGGTCTACTCAGTTGACCAGAAAGAGTGACTATGATATTTTGCAGGTCACTGCAAAATATCATAATCACGCTTTCTGGTCTTTTTATGCCACTAAAATTGTATTTTAGGAATTGTATTATAAATCACTTTAGGTGAAATGATGGTTTTGTACTCATACTTATTCCTCTTACAAGATTTAACAAATGAGGGGAAATTATCTATGTGCAGTAAAGTTACAAAAGAATTGGCAGACAAAGAACATTAATAATTCTAAAAGCAAAATTCATATGTAGTGAACATTGTGGAATTGGAAAAAATAAATTGGGGGGATGTCCCCAAGACCATGACTGAACATGTGATATACAGGGAATTTGTTGTTTGACTACAGCTAATATTCAGGTTAATTGTTGCATTTTTTTTATTTTACAGACTTAGTCATTAAAGACTTAATCGAGGTTGAGTAAAGTTTTTCATTACGCACTCCTATGTCCCTCACATCATTAATCACACATTGTTATGGGTATGGTCTTTGAGGATCCATGAAAAGTGGTGGCTTGTGATGTTTTAAGATGTTAGATTCTTCCATTTACCATGTCTATTAGACAAAGTGCAGAATAATTTACCGATTACAGACATTTCATTTAACTTGCTGCTTTAAACCTCAGCTGGTACTACTAATACCCTATTAAACACAGATGTAAATGCAAACCATATATCACTGTCAAACACTTTTTAAGGGATCAAACTACATGATTCAAGCTGGGGAACTTGAGTTAGAGAGGACAGAACTGACCCTAGTAGAGTTATTAGTGCTGAGGTGGAGAGCAGTTCAATTCTACCTGGGCTGCTGTGCTGTGCTGCTCCTCTCTGGGGCTTCTCTAGCTAAATAGTTGCTCCTCAAGCACATTAATCTCATTCATGCATCCAGCATGACATAATTGCCATTATCAGGAATAAATGGTATATCATGAGAAACACTGTGTAGTAGCCATTCCTCAATCTCTCTCTCCAGATCAAACTATCACTTCTGCTTGTCCTCTACCTCCATCCCCCAAAAAGTTAAAGGGACACTATAGCCACCAGTGCAACTACATGTATTCCTGACCCTATAGTGTTAACACAACCATCTAGCCCCCCTGGGCCCCTCATGCCTCCATAAATATAGCAATATCTTACTGTATTCAAGCCTGAAGCTGTAACTCTGCATGCTGTTTGCCTAAAAAAAACAGTCTGCTGACATCATCAGAAGTGGTAGCCTGATCCAATCACAGTGCTTCTCCATAGGTTGGCTTACACTGAAAAAGAGGCAGATCAGGGGCAGAGGCAGCATGATTCAAACACAGCCCTGGCCAATCAGCATCTCCTCATAGAGATTAATTGAATCAATGAATCTCTATGAGGAAAGTTCAGTGTCTGCATGCAGAGGGAGGAGACACAGTGCTGCCCTGTGCTCTGCTGACAGCAGATCTGAGTGGATTGAGGAGTTTTATGCCTCAATCAACTCGGAAGTCCCTCTGGTGGCATTCTGAGTGACTGCAACTGGAGGTGTTCCTAGCTTTCAATGTAAACACTGTATTTTCTCATAAAATACAGTGTTTACATGAGAGAGGCTGCAGGGAGCTATAGTTCTCACCTGAACAACCTCATTAAGCTGAAGTTGTTCAGGTGACTATAGTGTCCCTTTAATAGCTTAGTGTACAATGATAATGCTGGTGGTAGTATATAATTATTGTGTGTGGACGCTGTGGGTAAGGCATAAATTAAAAGTGCAGAGAGTGAGTGAAGGTTAGAGGATGTAAAAACTGTGTGCAGAGTGTAACATCTGTGGGTATGGCCTGAATCTGAATATTGAGTGCAGACTGTGAATGCTGTATGCAAGGTTTGGATGCTGTGAGCAGGGTGTGAGTGTAGGATGTAAGAGCAAGTCACATATGTTGAATGAGTGCCAAGTGTGAATTGGTGCTCCAGCAAAGCAGCAATCAGAAACAAAATTAAAATATTGACACAAAAAAAAGTCACCTATGCAGTTCACATTTTGGCACCCATTGTAGAGAGTAGCCACTAGCAAGTATGTAGATGCTTACTCTGCCTACTGGCAATTGTGGCCATGCTCGTCAGTCCACTTTATCCCTCTCACCTGAATGTCCATAATGCAAGGGCAAACTGAAATATCACAGGTCCCCTGTGCACTAGGCGAACAAGAGCCCCCTCATGCAAAGTCCATTCTTTGCATGGAGACACTGAACATACATGCATCTCTTTGGGGAGATGATGATTAGCGCAGCACTGCAATTTCCCGGTCATGCGCAATAGCCTCCCAATGGTTTCCTATGAGAAACTTTGAGAAACTGTCAAATTTGATAATCTCAGCCAAGGTGGCAAAGTGGGATCAACCGCAACGAGACCCGCTCCCCACTGGATTATAGGTAAGTAGACTCACCTTTTACTCCTCTAACAGGGGGCCAATACACCTAAATATTTCTTTATATTTCTTTTACCGTTTGTGTCACTGTACCCCACTCCCTCTAGCATGTAAGCTAATTGAGCAGGGCCCTCAACCCCTCTGTTCCTGTGCGTCTATTTGTCTGGTTACAATTACATGTGTGTTAGTCCACCCATTGTACAGCACTACGTAATTTGCTGGCGCAATATAAATAATAAAATAATAATAATAAGTATATATGTTTGTATTCCTGACACTATAGTGTTCGTTTAAAGTGCACGTCAGATCTTGCAGCAGTGACAGATAGGGTTGTGCACTGGAAAAATGCACACACTTTGCACTGCAGTCATCAAAGCTAGTACTGACACAAATTCACACAATTGTGACACTTTATGTAAAAAAAAAAAATACACAGGTGGGTCCCAGAGGAATGGTGTGCTCCACTCTGCCATAAATAAGGGGGACCCTGCCTCCTGTTATATTGTTAGACACTTAGCTGTTAAAACAGAAAGCTGGTATACATTGTAGAAAATGCTTTGACTGTCCAGCAAATAAAGACATAAATCGGCAAGGGGTGTTATAATTAATTTGTGGACACTTGACCATTACACCTATGTGAGTTTGTTGGACATCCAATTCCATAGCAGTGGGCATTAATATGGAGCTGTCCCCTCCCCCTTTCAGTTGAGGAAAGGCTTTCAACAAGATTTTGGATTGTGTCCATGGGAATTTGTGTCCATTAAACCAAAAAGAGCATTAATGATGTCAAGCACTGATGTTGGCCACTCGAGTTCCACCACACCAAACTCATCAAACAATGTCTTTATGGAACTCGCTTTGTGAAAGTGCAATCATACTCCAACAAACTGCTGCTACATTGGTGACCGGTAAACCCTGTATGCTGAATGTTGCTGAGTTTGAAATTCACATTTTGAAGAATTAAGGAGGATAACAAATTTTATATTTGCGATCGACATTGATGCCTAATAATTATATTCACGGATTCAAGTGGTTGAACTGCCATGTTTTCAGCATTTATGAGATGGGTTGCACCTGCAATTTAAGAGATACTAATTGTAATGCCAGCTTGGCAATATGTTTTTTCCAATAATATCCTCCTAAATTGACTGGCCAACTGCAGGTTGTCTGTCTCATTTATTTAAGTGCGACAAGAAAGGGCCTTCATCAAACTGTTGGCACATAGTTGGAAGCACCAAATTGTCTAAAATGTCTTTGCATCCTGTAAAATGTATAGGCAGAAAACCAAGGTTTCTTTTTAGGGGTGCAAAGTATTTTAAACAGATCTTAACTAAAAGTTTTATAGAAAAAGAAAAGCCAAAAATCTTTTAACAAATTGGGCAGAAATCCAGAAGGGATTTTATCATTGTGGCACATGTAACGCATGTAAAAATACTAACCTCACTAACAAAAGTATAACATTTTTTAAATCGAACGTTACTGAGAAGTCCTTTAACATAAATCCCCTATTACTTGCCATTCCAAAAATGTAATTTATTAATTGGTAACTGTGGGTTTCAATATGTTGGAAAAATCTCTAGGGCTTTAAATATGAGGATAAGCGAACACATTAGAAATATAAAGAACGGTTTTATTAACCAGTGTGTCCAAACACTTTTTAAGAAAAGCATTATTTAGACCCAAAATACCTAGAATTGTTTTGCTATTGAGAAGGTAAATATGCACTGGAGAGGAGGAAATATTGGGAAAAAATGAAGTTTACGAGAAATAAAATGGATTTTTGAACTACGCACCTTAGTACCTAAAGGTCTGTCAGGATATCTATATCGGCAGACATTTTGTGCTAAGATAGAAATTAAAAGTGTATTTTGCCTGAGTCACTCAGAACAGAGCGGACTCCATTTTGGATCTTCAGGCCAACAAAGACACATAATTTCTTCTTACTTTCTGTAACTAGCCACTAGGCGAACAAGAGCCCCCTCATGTAAAGTCCACTCTTTGCATGGAGACACTGAACATACATCATAGATATAAATTGATTTAATGCATCTTTTTGAGGAGATGATGATTAGCGCAGCACTGCACTTTGCTGGTCATGCGCAATAGCCTCCCAATGGTTTCCTATGAGAAACTTTGAGAAACTGTCAAATTTGATAATCTCAGCCAAGGTGGCAAAGTGGGATTAACCGCAACGAGACCCGCTCCCCACTGGAAAATAGGTAAGCAAACTCACCTTTTACTCCTCTAACAGGGGGCCAATACACCTAAAAATTTATTTTACAACTATAGTGTCAATTATACCGTTTGTGTCACTGTACACCACTCCCTCTAGCATGTAAACTCATTGAGCAGGGCCCTCAACACTTCTGTTCCTGTGCGTCCATTTGTCTGGTTACAATTACATGTGTGTTAGTCCACCCATTGTACAGCGCTACGTAATTTGCTGGCGCAATATAAATAATAAAATAATAATAATAAGTATATATGTTTGTATTCCTGACACTATAGCGTTAGTTTAAAGGGCACGTCAGATCTTACAGCAGTGACAGAAAGGGCTGTGCACTGGAAATATGCACACACCTTGCACTGCAGTCATCAAAGCTAGAACTGACACAAATTCACACAATTGCGACACTTTATGTAAAAAAATACACAGGTCCCAAAGGCATGGTGTGCTCCACTCTGACATAAATAAGGGGGACCCTGCCTCTTGTTATTTTGTTAGAAAAATCTCTAGGGCTTTAAATATAAGGATAAGCGAACACATTAGAAATATAAAGAACGGTTTTATTAACCAGTGTGTCCAAACACTTTTTAAGAAAAGCATTATTCAGACCCAAAATACCTAGAATTGTTTTGCTATTGAGAAGGTAAATATGCACTGGAGAGGAGGAAATATTGGGAAAAAATGAAGTTTACGAGAAATAAAATGGATTTTTGAACTACGCACCTTAGTACCTAAAGGTCTGTCAGGATATCTATATCGGCAGACATTTTGTGCTAAGATAGAAATTAAAAGTGTATTTTGCCTGAGTCACTCAGAACAGAGCGGACTCCATTTTGGATCTTCAGGCCAACAAAGACACATCATTTCTTCTTACTTTCTGTAACTAACCACTAGCCTGAGCTAAGGAATGCATTATATAAACAAGCCAAGTGATAAGCAATGAAGCAGGGGGATGGAATGCTTTGTTTAAATGTTAATAGAACAGAAATAATTTTAAACACAGACACTAGTGACAGAGAAGACTAAGTAATTAATTTTACTTTCTAAATTTTACAAGGTCCCATTGTAAGTAAGGGGTGAAATTGAGTTTAGAACTGTCAATTTTAGAAATTCCGATCAAAGTAGTTGCCACAAAGACTGAGGCAAACACTTTGAACTGACAGCAAATTTAAGTTATGGTAGTCATTCTAGATAAGCCAAATGACGTCAAAATCGTCATCAGGAAAAGTGAACTCTTTCCTGGATAGGAAGGTTTAGTTAGGCGAGACTGCCCTCTATGGATCAAATACCTAAATTGCGATCTGAAGGTTGACCACACCTTCCGTATCCTATTGGCCTTATCAACTAATGACGTACAGAGAGTCTGGCCCTTTAAAAGTTAGGACAAAGGGAAGAGAGAGGAGAGTTTGGGCATTCAGATTCGGACATGAAGAGAGATCCAGGATACTCTAACAACTAACCCTCAAACTCTCTTGGACACAACTCAAGAAACACTCCTTGACACTTAGAATTTTACTGAAACTTTCTAACCAGCATCACTTTTCTCTATTACTCACACACCTCCATACAACCAATCATACTCGCTTGTTCCTGGGACTTCCTACTCATCTGAGGAGAATACCTACATAACTGGTAATTATGCTGGTTGTATTTAATTAATTTAAATTAATTAAAAATTTACTAATAGCATGATATATGACTGGATAAATCACGGTCAGATTTCAATATTTAGAAATCTTAGTTAACTAAAGAATATATAGTTATAAACATTCCATTCTGCAGGTGGAATTAAGAATAATTATATATTAATGCAATATTATCACATGTTAGCATACCGTTGTTTTTATCCAGGTGTATTGATTTGCTCTAAAATAAGATAAGATATCTTTTTAAGCAAATTAAAATTCGGCTTTTGTAAAAATCTGGTAGA